TCTCACAGGCGGCACCGGCGTGCCGGGCTGGGCGCTCGGCAAGCCAACGCGCTGGAGCTGTCCCTTCTCAGAGTACAAAGCACCAAGGGTGCTTTCTTCAGGGTGGATGCCAGGCTGGGGCAGGTCAAGCTCTGCTTTCACAGGGGACATTTTGAGAGGTGCTCTGGTTCGCAGTGGAACCGAGGACAGATTTGTCTCACAGGCGGCACCGGCGTGCCGGGCTGGGCGCTCGGCAAGCCAACGCGCTGGAGCTGTCCCTTCTCAGAGTACAAAGCACCAAGGGTGCTTTCTTCAGGGTGGATGCCAGGCTGGGGCAGGTCAAGCTCTGCTTTCACAGGGGACATTTTGAGAGGTGCTCTGGTTCGCAGTGGAACCGAGGACAGATTTGGAAGCTTCAGAAAAGCTGGCAAAGTGGTATTGGTGGTTTCCACACTGCCCTAGTTATTAGCTGGCGTGCGTGATCCGGGTGACCCAATTCAGTTGCTCTGTGTCTTCCCATGCAATGGGAGGGACCATGGGTGCTGCTGAGAGTAAACGTGCAGGAACCCTGGGGTGCTGCTGGGATCATCCCCAAGCACAGCCTCTCCTCCCAGCCCAGGTGGGTGCTGGCAGCCTGTTCACATGGGCCTGGGCACCGAGAAGGCTCTCAGTGCAGCAGCAGCAGCGTTAGGGACAAGCAGCTGGGAGAGGCTGGGCTGGGGACAATGTGACCCCAGCAAGGACTAGCAGCCTTTCTGGATCCTGTGCCCGGTGGCGCTTGCTGCGTCTGCGGGGAGCGCTTAGAAGACATGTGCTCAGCAGGCTCATCCCTCCCCCTGAGTCCATGGCTGGTCCTAGAGACCTGTCTCCTGCAGCTGCATTGTCAGCCCGGCTGCACGGGGTCCCTGCCTCCAGCCCTCCCGGCCCACCAGCCCCTGGAAGCAGCTGCTGCCCACCTCCCAGGAGCTGGTCTGAGCACCGTTATGTTTGTCGCAGGCAGCAGAAGGCCTACATCGCCACGCAGGGACCACTGGCCGAGACCACAGAGGATTTCTGGCGGATGCTCTGGGAGCACAACTCCACCATCGTGGTGATGTTGACAAAGCTGCGCGAGATGGGCCGGGTACGAATCCTGCTCAGGGGAGAAGGGGGCTGTGTGGCTGCTGTCTGTGGGCACAGCCTCTCAGCTCACCCCAGTCTGTCCCCAGCACCAGCTGCTCTGGGCCAGCCTCCTGTTGGCACGTCCTGTGGCTGACCCTGTGGCCCCACAGCCACGTATGCTCCCAGGGAGCGGGAGGGAGGAGCAGCAGCTTGTCAGTGCTAATGTCTCACCGTGCTCCTCATCCACAGGAGAAGTGCCATCAGTACTGGCCCGCGGAGCGCTCTGCCCGGTACCAGTACTTCGTGGTGGACCCCATGGCAGAGTACAACATGCCGCAGTACATCCTCCGGGAGTTCAAGGTGACGGATGCCAGGGTGAGTGCAGCTGCTGGCTCCCCAGCTCCCCTGCCTCCTGTGCCTCTGCCCCACCTCCGCCCTGCCCAGGCCAGCAAAGGGAGCATGCAGCAGCTCCTGGAGGAGCCGGAAAGCGAGGTGCTGCCTTGCACTGCAGGCAGAAGGGGCTGCTGCCCCTCACCTGCTGCTCCTCTCACCACAAGTTCTTCCTTGCCAGCTGTGTCAGCCCCGGTGAGCAGCTGAGATCCCCATCAGCACCCTGCCTTGCCTGTGCTGTGCACTTGGGCAACCATTTAACACAGGCTCCCCTGCACCTGGAGTCTCTGTGTGCAGCATCTGACTGGGCACAAGACCCCTGTGTGACAGTAAATGTGGTCCTGGGGTGGAGCTGGGCCCCAAACAGGACCAGGGCACTGACCCAAGAGACCCTGCAGGGGCCCAAAGCCCTGCTCGGCTCAGCTGCCCTGGGGTGAACATGGGAGAGCAGAGGCAGGCCCCAAACGCTCAGCAAAAGATCTGCCTGGGCTCATCCGTGGCCTGTGCACCCTCTCACCTGGCCTGGGCCAGGGGGTCTGAGAGCAGGTCAGCAGCACCAGTGCTGAGGGGAGTGAGATCAGCCCCTTTTGCTGCCTCCTCACCCGCAGTTCACATCTGACACCCCTGTCCCTGCAGGACGGCCAGTCACGGACCATCCGCCAGTTCCAGTTCACAGACTGGCCTGAGCAGGGAGTGCCAAAGACGGGAGAGGGCTTCATCGACTTCATCGGGCAAGTGCACAAGACCAAGGAGCAGTTCGGGCAGGATGGGCCCATCACAGTGCACTGCAGGTGAGTGGGGACAGATCAGCACCCACCTCTGCCTTCATCAGCTCTCGGAGGTGTCCCCTACCTCGCCTACCCTGGCAGCTGCCAGCTCCCCTGCACTTGGTGCCCCTACTGCATACCACTGGCAAGAGCCAGGCAGGGGACGAGGAGGCGGCAACATCTGTGGGTGCCATCGGCAGCCTTTCTGCCAGGTGACTAGATTAACCCAGCGCCCCGGTGATACCTGGTGATTTGTAGCTCCTTGGAAGAGTCCTTGGGCAGGGCAGGGTGCCACAGCAGCTTGGCCCAGAGGCAAGGCAGAATCGGTGGGCCCCAATGGGGTTGAGAGGACACCTCTGGCTAGCAACATCCCTGTGGCCTCTCCTGGCTCCACTGAGCGTGTCCCCATGCTCCGTGAGCTTGCACCGCTCCTAGGAGCTCTGTAGAGCCTCGCTGGATCTGGCAGGTCTCTAATGGCACCTCTTGCTCCCTCTGTGCAGCGCTGGGGTCGGGCGCACAGGCGTGTTTATCACACTCAGCATCGTGCTGGAGAGGATGCGCTACGAGGGGGTGGTGGACATGTTCCAGACAGTGAAGACCTTGCGGACACAGCGGCCAGCCATGGTGCAGACAGAGGTGAGTGTCCTCTCCGGGGTGGTGGGAGATCTGTGGGAGAAGGGAGGGGAGCCGGCATCTCTGGATGCGCAACCCTGCTGCCCGATGTCCTTGGGTCCCAGCTTCTCACGCTTCCCCCCTTGCCGCCTTGCAGGACCAGTACCAGCTGTGCTACAGAGCGGCGCTGGAGTATCTCGGCAGCTTTGACCACTATGCAACGTAACTAGTGCTTTCCTCCAGTCGCGGTGGGGATGTCTAGGAGTGGAGACGGGTCCCTCTGAGCCAGAGCCGCCCATTCCTCAGTCCTTCTGTACAGATGGAGGTGCTGCCCAGGCAGCAGACCTCCACACCAACCAATTCTGACCACGGCATTTAGGAACTTCGCCCCAGCGCCAAACGAGGGAATCCGACTCCAAAAGCATTTCCAGTCTCTGGCTGAATTTCTGCTCATGTGCATCTCTCGCCCTCTCACGCGACTGCATTTCACAGCGAGGCTTTAGGTGGGTGGAATGGGATCTTTTTTTAAAACATGTAAAATAGTTACTAGTGGTTTTTATAATCTCCTCTCTCTTTATTTTTTATTTTTTGCAAGTCTTAATGTTTTGTCCAGGCAGAACTGGACCCACCAAACCTTTGGGAGTTGGGTTTTGGTTTTTTTAATTTCCTTTTGCTTTTACATTTTTTACTGTCCTGTGTTTATTTCAGCCCAGTCACTGCTGGTTCTGCCCATTTTAGTGCAGCTTCCTTGGTAATTTGCAGCAGCTGGCTTGTGGTTCCTGCCCGGCTCCATTCCCCGTAGGCTGCTTTTTAATCCTCTGTAGAATATGAAATTTCATGGAACTGGACCTAAGCTACCAATTATTTTTTTAGCCTTTCCCTTCCCCCCATTATTTCCTGAGTAGGTTTGGGTTTGGGAGGGCACGTGGGGTCGCCGGAGAAGTGGTCCCCTTTGTCAGCTGGAAACCGTTCAGTCCTATTACGATGCGTGTTAAACCAATCCAGTGACCGTGTGTATTGGCAGATCCCGGTATGACGTGAGTTGTCGTCGCCTTGTTTGTGAGGACCCGAAATCTCAGGCTCCGGGCTTTGGAGCCTCTCTTTGTGTGTCTCGCTGGGAAGGGGGCAGGAGAAGCGAGTGGGTCCCACACGTCCCCTGGGAGGGGATGGAAAGAGCGAGACACGGCCCTTTTTGTTAATCCCGCGGTTCTGTGCGTGCAAGCGCCATTCTGCCACCTCACCAGTGAAGTGCATCGGAGCATTTAGGAAGGCAAGGAGCACAAGCCCAGCCGTCCCCAGAGCGGAGCCGGGCCGGCTCTCTTTGGAAAGCAGGGTACTGCAGGGAAGGGGAGGGGAGTACACATGGCTTCAGAGGTTGGGTGTATCTATAATTTCTGCTATCCTGCAAATGTTAAAAGTCACTAGAATATTGTACTTTCCGCTACTTCAGGACGTTCTAATGAACCAATGTGGCAAGACTACTGGACTTAATTTAATGGTACTATATATTAATACTCCTTATTATATCACGCTTGCACTAAAGACAGGGAGTGAGCAGCCCTCTTTCGAGTGCATTGAGTTATGAATAAAGGTGGTGGAAGGGTATCTAATTGTATTATCACATGTATTCCGAATGTTAAGAATCCAGGCTACGTTGAAATCAGCAATCCAGGGTTGGTAATGTTGGAGGACACATTCATTTTTACCTTGTGGATGCATAGTGCTGTAGGGGTCACTGTTGTATACAGTCTGTTTTCTATTTGTTAATAAAAAAAAAAAAATCTACAGCATCATTGCATAATTCTTGATGTTAATAAATTTGAATAATCGGGTTTCATACAAGCTGGCTTTGCTGTCTGTTTCTTCAGCAATAAGCAGAAGCCATAGAGTCCCTTGGCGATGCGCACGCTCCCCAGCCTGTCACCAGAGAAGTCCTTTCCCACAGGCACATCCCAGCCACGGGCACCCTGCACCTCCTGCAGGGTCCCAGTCCCAGCAGGGAGCTCTGAAACCCCCTGTGGCAACCCTCTTTGTGCATGTGTCTGCTCACCTCCTGCCCACCCGCAGCTGTACTGGGGTGCACCGAGAGTCCTCGGTCCCTGGCATCTCTGGGAATGGCTCCTGCCAAGCCTGTGTTGGCAGCTGTGGCCCTCTGGGTCCCCTCCACTTCCCAAAGGATGGATCATTCCCAGCAGGAGGAGGCCAGTAGCCACCTTCTGCCCAGGCCACACTCTGCACAAGCTGTCCCAGTGGTGGCCGGGGCCTGAGACCTGTCCTACCCACCTGCTCTACTGCCCCAGGGTGTAGCAGGATGCAACCCTGGGGTGATGCTGAGCTTTGCCGGAAGCACGTTTACCTGCACCCCCTTCTCTGCCGGCATGCTGGCTGCAGGACCAGGCTGGGGTAGCTAGAGACTTTGCTTGTGGGTTTGCAGGAAAGAGAAGGGTTGGTGGCGGTGGGGTTTGGTGGCAATATCTGTGCTGGATGAGGCTGAGACGTTGCCAGCCTCCTGGGATGCTGCAGTAACGCCGTTCTGCAGCGCTGAGCACAGTTGCATATGCAAACTTACTGCTCAGCAGTAAAACCACTGCCTGGCCCCTAACTGCTGAGCAGCACCCGCGAATGTTCAGGTGTGAAACCCCCGCCAAGGCATGTGGCTGTGCCCGCTCTCTGTGGGCAGGCCAGCCCCAGCCCTGCGGGCGTATGAACTGCAAACCCCTGCGTTGGTGCCAGCTCCTAGAGAGAGCAGCACCTGCAAACAGCACAAGCGTGCAAGGGAAAGGCCAGTGCAAGGGGCAGAACTGCATGGGCCAGGGCCCCATGGCCTGTCCATCCTTCCTGAGGGAGCCAAATCTGCCCTGGCCAGCATGCGCACGATGGGCGGGAGCGTGTGGCAGGCAGACTTATGAGCTTTTCCCTGACATGACTATGTGCACCTTCTTACTGACTCCTCGCTGACTTTGCTGGAGCTCAGCCACATGTGGCATTTCCTGCCAGGCCACACCGGCGCCTGAGCAGGTGTCAGATGCAAAATGGTGTTTCCCCCTCGCCCAGCCGGTTCCTGCCCCAGCGCTTCACCCCTGGGGTGACCTGAGGCTGGTGGAGCCTTTCCCTGGCTCTGTGGTTGGGCAGCCCCACTCAAGGACGCAGATCTGAGGGCAAAGCAACCTCCTGCCATTGCAAGGCACCGCAGGTGCGCAGGCATGTGCACATACTCGTGCCAGCACCGCTGGCATCGGGACACTTTGCTTTGCATTGCTGCCAGGGCCCAGGATGGCAGGGCTACATGGCCAGGCATGCACCTGCTCGTACGCGGGTGCATGTGGGGAGGAAGGACGCCATGCTAACCACCGTGCTTTAGGAAGCCGGACAGCTGAGAAGCGGGCAGCGAGCACCTGCCTGCACTGCAGCAAGAATGCCTTGGCTGTGCCGCTACAGCTGGTGACGATGCTTTTGGCACATGGATGTGCCACTCACCGAGCACTCACCAGGCACTGCCACATGCACAGCACGCACCTCTAGTCCGTGTCTGGCTTCGAAGGCAGTGATTTGCTCTCACCAAAACCAGCAGTTGCCAGAACACTTGTACATATGCACAAGCACACACGCATGTACCTTCTTTCTCCTTGTCCGAGAACACTTGGGGCTTCCCTCCCCTTTTGATGTCGTGTTCTTAGCCCAAACCCTTTACAACCAACCCAGGGAAAACATGAGGGAATGAACACTCCAGCTGACCACTTCTGCAGCCTCCACTTCTCTGCCTGCCATGTGGAAGGCACAGAGTGACCTTTTTAGGTGGTCAGTGAGCTTCCCTGTGGGCTGAGTAGAAACAAGAGGTGGGAGAGAGAGAGAACAAACATCTCAGCATGGACCACACTGGGAGCAACATGACCGAGCCTGGGCCTCTGCAGTTGCTGTGTAGGCACTGTAGGTACACATCCCTTGCGGCGGTGAAGCCATGTGGGCAAAGCCTTGTGCTGGCCTCATAGGGCCGAGAAAGGCTCAGCACACAGGGAGGGCCAGGAGGTCCCCAAAGTGTGAGAACGCACTGCTCTGGCAAGGGGACGGGCCCCAAGACGAGAGCCAGGTCAGAGAGCGGCAAAGGCAACTGCTGCCTGTGGGAAGTCCCGCTTCCCCATCCTCCTCACACAACAACACTGCCCACCTAAACCCAGCTCACCCCAAAGGGGATGGAGTCATATTGCATGTACCTTCTTTCTCCTTGTCCGAGAACACTTGGGGCTTCCCTCCCCTTTTGATGTCGTGTTCTTAGCCCAAACCCTTTACAACCAACCCAGGGAAAACATGAGGGAATGAACACTCCAGCTGACCACTTCTGCAGCCTCCACTTCTCTGCCTGCCATGTGGAAGGCACAGAGTGACCTTTTTAGGTGGTCAGTGAGCTTCCCTGTGGGCTGAGTAGAAACAAGAGGTGGGAGAGAGAGAGAACAAACATCTCAGCATGGACCACACTGGGAGCAACATGACCGAGCCTGGGCCTCTGCAGTTGCTGTGTAGGCACTGTAGGTACACATACCTTGCGGCGGTGAAGCCATGTGGGCAAAGCCTTGTGCTGGCCTCATAGGGCCGAGAAAGGCTCAGCACACAGGGAGGGCCAGGAGGTCCCCAAAGTGTGAGAACGCACTGCTCTGGCAAGGGGACGGGCCCCAAGACGAGAGCCAGGTCAGAGAGCAGCAAAGGCAACTGCTGCCTGTGGGAAGTCCCGCTCCCCCATCCTCCTCACACAACAACACTGCTCACGTAAACCCAGCTCACCCCAAAGGGGATGGAGTCATATCGGTTTAAAAGTGCTTACTCATTTAGCATGTATTTCCATTTATCTCTGCATAGCTCACAAAATAAAAGGGAAACAAAAAAAGATGACTAACCGTATAGCGGGCAGACAGGGAGGCTAACCCGGTCTCTCCTCAGAGCCAGCGCCGTGGCTTGTGCCATGCTCCATGCAGAGCCACGCCCCTGGCACTGCCACGCCTGGGCTGCGTTGTTCACCTTTCCCTGGCCAGAAAGGACTTATCCTGGCTGGCGTTTTTTTTTTTTTTTTTTGCCCCATCTTCTTTGGTATCAGTTTGAGGCTACTCCTTGCCTCTGGTATCACCCTGGCTTCACAGTGCCACGCTGTGCTCCAGAGCTGGACTGAATGCTCCCAAGATGGTGCCATAAGGAGGCGTTTGGCCTCTTTCTTTTGGCATGTCTCTGACAGACCAAACATGTTCGCACTGAGCAATGGAGCTGGGTAGTTATTGCTGGCTTTTTTTTTTTTAATTCCTAGCGAAAATTTTCCAGTCCTAAATTGTACCAGATAGCCCTAATGCAGCCTCAGATAAGCAGCTTTGTAAAGGGTAAGGTTTGGCAGGTGGGACAGCAGCTAAATGGCAGCTAGTCAAAGGTGAACTCCTGGGCACTGAGCTGCTCTTCTGCTCTTTCTCTTTTTAATTTTTTATTAATTTCATTGATACCTGTAGCAAGAGAGTTGTGTAGGCCCTGCTTAGGCTTGGCTTGCCTCCTAGTGATGCTAAATAACACACTGCCCGAGCACCTGCCCTTTGGG